TGTTGTAACATGAGAGGTAGCTGAGGTTAGCAAAATCAAAGAGACATGCTAATTGAACAGAGCAAATAGGGCTCGGTCACAGTGACACAGCACAGCAGCAAATACTTTGCAAACACTGAGTTTGCCAGTGTACTGTCTGCCCTTGTTCACAGGATGTAACAGATTTAGTACCAGCTTACAAGGGAATGGGGATGGGAGATAAAACAGACTGAAAAAAACCCACCTAACCATTAAAGAAAATTCAGACTGGCAGTCCCAGGTTGAAGTGTTTAAGAAATCATTTTACAGGTCAAGGAAACTGTTTATCAGTGACAACTTTCCAGCTGTTACTGTGCATCCTTAAATTTAACTCCATCTTCCTGATGTGCCCAGCATGTACAAGAGCCAAAAATAAGCTGTCAGAATTCAAACATGTTCAGGAACACAGCTTTACACCTGTAACTGCTCATATTGTGAGATAACACTAGCTTAAAAAACCCAACAGGCAGATTGCAAATCTCACTGTGAAGGGAATTCCTGTATTTTTTCCCAAAGAGTATTTACATGACTGAACTTAAAATGGTTTTGTATAACCTGATCAAACACTGAAAGCAGCACACTAAGCTCTTCCACCTCTAAAAGGGATGCTTAGAGGAATTACTATGCTATGTCTTTTAAACTGAAAAATAAACTATTGCCAGAGGTCTTTGAAGAACAACAATATTGGTACATATTGGTACATAATCTTGTAGACAAAGTAGAGTTACAAATACCCTTTGCACTTGCTAATGTTATCATATTAATGACTTGTATCAGCTTTTGGTTGCACATCTGATCAGAATGGAAAGCAAAAGGAACTAGTAAGGTTGCTGCTGTTCCCAACATCAGAGATGGAGTTCCCCCCAACAGGGGTCAACTGTGACGGAAAAATAAAGAGAACAAACTGAATGTTATGATTTGAAGAAAGCTTACTATGTAGGAAAAAATATATAAAACTCCCACAGCCTTCTAAAACTGTAGTGACTACACATTACTTGAGGAATATTTGTGGCTTTTCATGTTATTCTGCATGGCAAAACTTACCATGGAAAATGGAAAAGTCAGTATTTTAACTAATGATTACTTTTGTCAGTCTTCCATAGTAGACAGAAAGCAAATCAAGCCAAACATAAAAACACACATCCTAAAAAAATTCATTAAAAAATATCTTTAAACCAACAGGTTTCAACTTCGCATTTCTCAAACTCAGCTGAAGGAAATGTTCTTTTATCTTCTCCAAAGGCAGCATCAAGTGGAAGACTGTCAATGGACATTTTTACTCAGAGGAGAAGGATTTTTTGATTTAGGTGGGGGTTTTTTTGTGTTGTTCATTTGGTTTTGTGTTTGGTTGATTGTTTGTTTGGCTTTTTTTTTTTAAAGAAACCTATGACCAAATAGAAATCTATTGCGTAACAGCAAATCTGCACTGCATATAAACTCAATCACACAGTTCACCACCATGAATTCAGTAATAAAAATCACATTACCTCCGACTGGGATAAGTTCAAGCACCTCATGGAAAGAACAGGGCAGTTCTTGACAGGGAAACAAACACCTGCAGCTGCTGAGCCAGGTGCTGGCTCTGTAGGAGCTCAGTAGATCTGCAGCCACTTCAGCCCACAAGGGAAGCACATGGACAGCATGATCCAAGAGTCATCACCTGGAACTGGGCTTCAACCTCTCAACACCTACTTTTCCCACGAAGGTCTTTTGCTCATTGATCCTCTCTATCCCTTCATCTATTGAAGCTATTGACAATATCAAAGCTTCAGTTAGTTAACTGCTACTATTGATTACATTACAATTAATCTTAATATACATAGTAATTTGTCCAACAACAATTTAAAAAGTACATTTTCCATGTCATGTACTGACTTTCAGCAACAACCTATTTTCTGAAATGCAGTTTTTAATCCTAAACACGTAGCAGAACTTCGCAGCAAAGTTATCCCACAAAAATCCTAGGCAAAATATGTAACATATTAAATTACCTTTTTTTCCCCTCTCCACCCATTTTCTTCTTCATGTTTTAACAGAAGAAGTCTTCACTTTCGAAATTTTTTTTTCTTCTGCTGTTCTGTGCCTTACTCTACATTGATCAAATGGAAGAAGGAAAGAATATAAAGCAACAAAACATAAATAAATAATAATACAATTTTTATGTGACGAAGTTCTTCATTTTTACTGGTGTTGGAAAGGCAAGCAAACCAAAAAATGTCACCTTTGCAGTGTCCTCCCACTCAGGACATGCCCAAAAAAGTCATCAACCTCATTCTCCTTGCAGATAATTAAGAACACATAGTTAAAACACCATCAGACATCTCAGTATATGGTACTGATGGACTCTGCTAGCTGAACACTTAAGTTATATTCATTTTTATAATAGTGATAAGTTAGAGTTCTCTGTATCTAGAAATATAGTAGTTTGTTAAGCTCTCTAACAAAAGCTTTCCAAATAATGAGAGGAAGTACTCTTTACCCAACTTTATAAAAAACATTTCTACCATTTTGTCTCACACACATACAATATATTTTATTTATATGAACAAATTATCTGTGTGATAAACAGATTGTGGCAAAAACTCCAAGTTTCACATACCTCTCAGGAAACAAAAAGGGCATGAAATCTTAGTATGCTTTTACACATAGATGGTTGTCACAAACTAGTGAAATATTCAGAATTGCACTTCTTCAAAAGCTGCAGGAACCCTAAACAATTTAGAAACAATTAGGTATATGCATTTCAACAGACACACTGAACATAATAAAATATTCAAGTGTTACTGAATAATCCTAATCCATGAAACAACCACCATGCAGTTTGCCTTCAAAACCAATAGTGCAAAATCCTACTGAAATGATAGGAAGACAAGTTCTAGATTAAAGTTAAAAAGAGCATAAAGGTTATTGCATAATGCCATAGTGATTACAACATAACACAAAATTAGACAACACACACATAATGATACGCTTTTCAGTCACACACATAGCAGTGTAACATCCAAGTCGTTTGTTCCATGCTGAACTGACTCATTACAGAACATTGTATATGAAGATGATTGTTCACATGTAGGTCTTCTCCAGGATCCTCTTCATATGAATTTGCATTAGTGTAACTGTATTTTATCCAGCCTCATTACAGCACAGAGCATAAGTCACTATGTTTTATTCTTTTTTCAATCCAGATCAGCCTTGGGAACACTGGATTCTGATTTCAAACCTGCAGATACAGCTGAAGGTTACCCCTTTGCCTGCAGAAACCTTGCAGATGGCTCATTCAAGCCTGACTAGTCATACATAACTTGAGCCAAGGACCTTTGAAGTAAATGGGAAGACATCACTTCAATGGTTCTATAATGCTGAAAACAGTGACAGCTCCTGCTTGTCCCTGACCAACTTTGTTAGAATTGCTAGCAGTAAGTGATCTGGTTTCATTAAGAAAGGGAACCTGTAAACCTGACTGTACTACTTGCTTGTAAATGAGAAGGACACCTATAAAATTGTTAGTTTGTTGTCATGGAGCATTATCAACTTCCAAACAAAAAAAAAGAAAAGGGGGGCGGGGGCTGAAGACAAAGAGCGTCCTAACAAAACAAACGCCTTCTCAGAAAAAACTAAGACCCTCCAGTATAGACCCTGTTGTTATAATTAGCACTATAAGCAGCATGCCTTCCTCAGCTTCTGAGGAAAAAATACTGTATCACTGTCCCCACTGCCATTCAGAAAGGAGCTGAATTCTTTTCCCATGAAAACTAGAAGCAAGATGTCCCAATGTAAGTTCATTTTACAAAACACTGAGAGGTCCAAAGTGAACAGTTTACTAATAACAAAGCCTTAATATTAACTGCTGATAATTCAGGAATTTCATGTACAAACACTCTCTGAAGTTACAGTTTTACTGTCCTTGTAGATAAAAATTTCTTGGTTATCTGTGGTTCAAGAAGGCCTGTGGGAACTCTTTTCAAGAGTCGTACTGCAGTAAACAACTCAATGTGATAATAACACGAAGAATTTGATTGTGACTTAGTTGTAAAGCAGTATTTTTCCCAGTTCTCATTAACAGAATGAATAAAAGGCAGTTTAAGTGGGATGAAGAAACACAGGGCAT